AGCTATTTTTGGATTTGGAGCAGAAAAGCCAAGATTTCACAGTTTAATTAAACTTCTGAGGTAATCATCATGACAGAAATAGCTTGACTGTACATGTTTGTATGGTGCTGGCCAAAAAGACATGCATTGCTGGCAGCCAAAATCAAGTGCAGATAGCATCTTCATTCACCATTTCTGGCACCACTGCTTCTATTAGTCTATGTTATTTGCACTCATGTATGTGGTCTTAACGTACTTGTATCCCAACGGTGCAGACTTCTTATTACCACAAGGGAACACTGACTATCTCCCTTTCCAGTCACAAAACGACCAATGCACTTATGTACTGAAGTGCTACACTGCCTGAATTTACTCCATGCATCAGGCACACCAAGGCTTGGAAAAATATCCTTCAACAGCATCTGCTGATTCTCCCAGAAAACAACTGACTGCAGCAATGCTTCCACAAACATATGGTGCTCAAGAGAGTGAGTTAACCACCTCTATCTTTCAAAAGCATAGGAAATTATTTCTTCCACACACTCTCCAAGTACGTGTCTAAAAGTCTTAATGTACCCTAGTTTGAACAAGAGCCCTCATCTACTAGTCACTCACTTTCTGGTTTTATGGCTGAAAAGAAACAGTGTTAGTCAGCTTCTCTTACAGCAAAGCATCACTTTCCTGTAATCAAGAAGTGGGATAACTCTCCCTTGCACAGAAGGGAAGCACTAAGCCCTGACATCGTTTTACTGAAATATTTTGATTGCAAGGCACAGATGAGACCAGAGCTACAATAAGAATGCTCCATGGCATCTGCTACTCAAAGAAGTTGCGTTTTATACTACTAAAAAGTCAAGTAAACTTCTAAGCAGCTATAGCTACCTCAAATGCCACATTCAGACGGTCAGTCTTACCAATAGGGGAGCACAAAAATCAAAGGCTCCATTCGAAGAATGCGACCTGAGACCGATTGCCATCCGTGGGTCTGCGCCCAGCCACGCTCGGCCAGCACATGACACTTTCCTGCTAGTCCTGGTTTGCACCAGGGCTGGAACCACACAGACCCTTGGCTGGTCCCTGGTCTGGCAGGGTGGGAGACCAGGACTGCCGGTACCCCTCCGAGTGCGCCTGCCCCCACAGACACAGAGCGTGCTTTCTCTGAACATCAGGAATTATTTCTAGTCATCTAACTGATCTGTTGCGATCCGTGATGTGTTCGGTAGGAAGGAAGATACGATACGTGGGGGATGCAAAGTCCCAAATTAAAGATGACAAGAGTAGTTTCCCCATGCAGATAAGACCTAAAAATCCTCAGTTTTATAAAATAAGTGACCCCTGTTAAAGGAACCATAGAGAAATCGACTTTTCTCTCAGCAATACCAAGAATCCCTATGTTTCAGCCAGGGATTCAATTTCCTTTAAGCATTCTTGTAACATCAACAGAAAATCAATTAATGCTTGCATTCGTATTCCCAAACTTCCCTTTCCATCCAGAATAAGAGACAGAGGAGGACTAAAAGGTCCATCTGTTCAATTTTCACATTCACGTTGTACTTGAAAGGCTTGGTTTTTCACAGAGTGAACTCCCTTTTCTGCAGGTCCAACAGCAATAATTGCGAAGCAGGGGCAAACACTGCACACACACTTCCTCTAGCGGTCCTGGTGCAGAAACAACTGTCTTTTTTTTGGCATAGCACCACTGCTTTATGACCCAGTTTATGAGGTGATTAAAGTTTGTCCCCAGAAGTATTTCAGGACACTGCTACGTCGCACACATCTACACTGCCTGCTGATAAACGCAAGTACAGGCGCAGCGATCTCTGCCCAGCAGACAGCTATGCCAGATATTTGCAAGATTGTCTCCTTGAACTGTTCTCCACAGAAGGAAGGCAAACACATGTATTTTAAAACCTTATTTTGATTAGCACCAATTATTGAGGTATCCAGGAAAGTCAACTGTAAAAGCAGGAGTCCAATGTTCTTGAAATTATTCTTACTTCAGAAAACTAAACTATGCATTATCTAAGAGAAACAACCTATTTACATTTTCTAGTGTGGTCCAAGAACGAACCAAGTTGACTTCCTGATCTGTTGGCTACTCAGGGCAAAAGTCCACTTTGGGTCCATCTGCACGAGCAGTTTTGGGGTAACTGAGCTAACAACAGGTTGGCTGGGCAATAGGTTAGTTCATGGGTTAAGTCTCATCAATTCCATTGCGAATCAGAGAAGTTGCAAAAACTGCAGATAATATGCTTCACAGAATAATAGAAAAGTGGAGGATCTCCCCTCCCCAGTTGATCCTAGTATTTTGCCACCTTCAGAGCTGCATTTTGAGAAAAGATGACTAAGTTCCTCAAAGTGACATTGACTACTATTTTTCCTTTCTTCACAGCCTGAAGAGAAAAAGTAGTTGTCTCCTTCATAATAACCTTCTACCTACTGAAAAACTCCTTTTCTTCACCCTTCCCTTCTCTCAACCAAACCAAACATCAATTTTCTTAGACATTTCTTGTGTTTTATTCCTAATATTCTCTTCCAGACTTCCTCCAGTTGATTTGTATCTTTCTTAAATTGCTCAAATTGAACACCAGACTTCCACTGAGGCAACACCAATGCTGGGCACAGCAGGATAATTGCTTCCATGTTAAATACAATCCTTATATTAGTATAACCCAGAATAAGGTCTGAACCTTTCTGGAGCAGCACTAGATTGATATTTTTTATTTAATTTGTAATTCCCCAGATCCTTTCCTGTCCAATCTCACCACCGTCCCCCACTTTGGGTTTATACATTTCTCTTTCCTAAACATCATGCACTTGACTTTGTTCTTTTCAGATGACATTGTCCATTTATCTGCATGATTGCGAATTTGATCCTGTTTTCCACAGAAGTCATATCGTCATTCACCTTGGCTTCCTCCATTCCACCTTCCATTCTAGCACGCAAGCTATTATGGAAAATACTGAGCATAACTGGGCCAGGAACCGGTTCCTATCCTCAGTTTGACAAGTATTGCTGCCCTCTGAATGCAGCCTTTCTAGCTTTTTGTGTCAACCTTACAGTGATTACACCCAGAGCAAATGTCTTTGCTTGCTCGCAAGACAGTTTGGGGTAGTGCCCAACGGCAAGCTATGTTGCATCTTCTGCTTAAGCCTCCACTAGACCACCTGACCCCCAGACAAGGCGTTGATTTGATATCATCTAGTCTTAGTAAAGTGATGCCTGTTTTTAATTTCCTTATCATCTAACTATCTACAAAATGGTCAGAGGTCTATAACAGGATGACTGTGTCAACAGTCCTTCACCCTTCAAAAAAAGATGCTGTTTTCACTCTGTTTCCTGGGACATCCTCTCTCCCTCATGTGTTCTCAAGTGCTCCACAGACTACTTCAGCTTGTTCCTCACGTTGCCTAAGGTGAATCTCATAAGGCCTTGCTGACATAATCAAAATAATATTTAGCTGGCTGTTTCCTTAGTTGTTTTCTTTCCTTAGCCTGCAGTCCTCTCATGATGTAAAATTTAACCTGACTAAGCAGCTGATCACATTTTCTTTGTGAGAAGATGAAGCAAAGAAGGCGCTGAATGCCTCAGACTTGTCTGCGCTGTTACTTGTGCTCTTTCCTGTTAACTAACAGGCTTGCCTACTCCTTCATCATCTTCTTATTATACATTTCTTATTGTTACTATCCATCCTCCGTATTAATTGAGAATCATTTTGCATCTCAGCCTTTTTGATGTTACCACCGTAACCTTATGCTACTCCTTTGTAACTATTCTCAGGTATATGCCTGTGCTTCCACTCTGTGTAGCTCCTCTTGAACTTCAAGTTACAAAAAATGTACCTGATTCAATCAATATGCTTCTGAATACGCTTCCTATCTTTCCTTTGCCTGTAGGTTGTAAGGAATGCTGCATAGTGTCTTCTGAAAAATGACCCTACAAATCTCTCATATGTAGAATACTCAACGAGTTGCAAAGCTGAAGATGCTGAATGGTAGCAACTCACTAGCCTATGCTGTATTTCAGTGAGCCTTGCTCAAGTAGTATTTTAGGATTTCTAGACAGGTGTGGGTTAAAATTCATCAGTTTCATGAAATTCCTAACAGCTGCAGAGCTGTTTGCTCCTCTTTACCAAGAGGAAGTGATCAGAAACACAAGACTGAATAAAGCCATCTCTAGGGAGAAAGCCAAAGTCATAGGCTGCTAAGCATTCACTTTTAAAGCTGTTGCAAAATGATCTCCATCCAGCTGAATAATGTCTACCGTTTGCTAATTAAAACCCAAGTATAAAAGGCTAAAATCCACTCACCAATTTGCCTTCAAGTTGATTGGTTTGGAAATTCGCTATATTTAAGAACTAACACTCAAATTCACGTCAATTGATTTTTCACTCTAAGGCACAGAGTTTTACGTATCACAGAAGCATCACAAAAGCACAGGCATTACTCACGTCTTGTCATTTCATCATTTTCTTTACAAATGGTCTGTTTCAGCTGCTCGATCCTCATCTTGCAAGACATTATTTTCCATCTCTGAAAAAGAACATTCAGCAACTCTAGGGCACAAACAACTTCAAACACACTGACTAATGATTAACAACAAAGCCAGCAGCTTTAGTGCAAAAGTATCAGGATGTTCTTAATTGGATCAGACGAACAAGTAAGTATTTCATACACTGTTTTGTGCACAGAAGAATGCCACAAACAAACCAAATGCTTAGTATAAAGTCAATCAGTATAATAAATTATTGAACAAATACCTAGCAAGAAATGAAAAATATTGACGGTTTGAAGCACTCTGCTTGCAGAGCCAATTTCAGTTTTGCTTACAACAGGCTTTTAGGGAATGCAACACAATGCCCTCAAGGTAAATTGTAACTTTGAACTACGAGATCTAGGAATTCAGAGAGTTAAAAAAACTATGGAACGCTTTGAACAACTCACCAGCTGATCTGTTAT